CATATCCTTTGACCTTCCCACCACCTCCCCTCAACTTTCCCCCAGCCTAGTAGTGATTCCCTGACTACTGCTTTCCAGCCTACAGCTCTCTACACAGTTAGGGGGAGAGCTGACTCACAGGCTGTGTGACCATGGACAAATTATCTAACCTCTCTGGTTCTTGGTTTCCTCATGTACAGTTTCCGGAATGACCTCCTAAAGCTGCTGTGAGGATTACAAGGCATTCAGCCAGAGCAGGGCCTCACAGAGGGAGCTCCACAAACATTGGCTATTCTTCTTCTTCTTTTTTTTAATCCTCACCCGAGGATATTTTTTCATTTTTTGTTCAGATAAAGCAGGAGGGAGAGAGAAAAGAGAGAGAGAGAAACATCAACGTGAAAGGTACACATCAAGTGGCTGCCACCTGCACGACCCAACCAGGGCCAGGGACAAACAGCAACCGAGGTACGTGCCCTTAGTGGGAACCAAACCCAGGTCTCTCTGGACCACAGGCCAACGCTCTAACCACTGAACCAAACTGGCCAGGGCAAACATTGGCTATTCTTTTTTTTTTTGTTCAGATAGAGTGGGAGGGAGGGAGGGAGAGAGAGAGAGAGAGAGAGAGAGAGAGAGAGAGAGAGAAACATCAATGTGAAGAGAGAGAGAGAGAGAGAGAGAGAGAGAGAGAGAAACATCAATGTGAAAGGGACACATCGAGTGGCCGCCTCCTATGTGACCCAACCAGAGACAAACTGCAACCAAGGTACGTGCCCTTAGTGGGAACCGAACCCGCGTCTCTCTGGACTGCAGGTCGATGCTCTACTGCTGAGCCAAACCAGCCAGAGCCAAACATTGGCTGTTCTTAATGTGGCAAGATACATCACTTCAAGGGTGAACAACTGAATCATTTCATTGGATGACTAAACCCAGATATAAAGTATGCCAATTATATGGTTCAGGGATTCCACTCCTAATAATTTATTCAGAGGAAATAATTGGATGATTATTAGATGTGCGCCCGAGGGTGATCATCGTGGTCTTATTTGCACAAACTAAAATCTTGGGATCTCTTGTAATGCCTAGTGCATAAAAGAACATTCTTCGGGTCTGATCATTCTGCTGGTGGCTGAATCTCCCCAAGTGTCTCCTCTTGTTCTGGTACCTTCCATGACTCCTGACAGCCCCCAGGATTCAGTCTGAACACCTCAGCCTGGCATTCAGAGCCTCCAGGCCTTGGCAGGCTCAGCTCTCACCACTACACAACCCTGCACCTACATTCTTGTCTCCACTGACACCTCGCCATTCCCTGGGTATGCTCTGCACATCTAGCCTCTGTGCCTGTGCTAAGGCCATGCCATCTGCCAGGAATGCCCTCTCCACACCCATTTCCCTTTGTCCCCAGCCTTCAAGGTCAACTCTAGTGGTATCTGCCCCATGAACCCTTTTCAGCATCCTCTCCCAGACAGAATCATCTTGCTGTATAGCACCCTTCATCATCACGCTCTTCCCTCCCCGTGGACAAGTGTTATGAAATGACACCCACAGGGTACATGAATGGAGCTCTTACTATGTGCCACACACTTTGGTAAGCATTGTGTTGTGTAACCTCCATAAGAGCCTATAATAATGCCACCATTATCATCCTACAGATGAAAAAATTAAGTCCTCTGTGCATAAGCCTTCCATCAGCATTAACTCTTACTATTCTTATTAAATCCTATGTGAGTGAGGAGGACTTTGGAGCCTTTTGTAAAACCAGGAGGCACTGCAGGCAGGTTGGGGGCACAGGTGGGGGAGTGGGGAAGTATGTGGCCTGGGCCTAGTCCAGCCATGCCCTAGACTCACCTGTGGGCTCCAGGTGAGGCTTATTTCTTCCCCATTCTCCTCTGGGCCAATTTAAGGAGGCTTGTTGGGGATGGGCAATATTTCTTTTCATTAGCGCTGCTGCCAGGGGCTTCCATAGGTTGTGTGGTCTTGCTGTTGGGTAAATTCTGGGCAATGGGGTGCTCTCGGAAGTGGGGGTGGTGAGTGGGGGCCCTCCTCCTGCCCTCCCTGCCCCTGAGCTGAGCCTTCCTCTGCCAATCATGCACCTTGTGAGCCCCCTAGAGGATAACTCATACCACCTGGCCTAGGCCACTGCAGAAGCTAGACTTGGGATTTTGGGGGTACTGGGAGAAGGGAACTTCCTTTCTGATGGCCTGTGAGTATCTCTTCCAGCTCCCCTCCGAACTCAGGGGCAGGGGCCCACCCACACCTTGATCCCTGGCCTCCAGGGCAAAACCTGCCATGTAGTAGATGCTCAGCAAACACTCAGCAAAGGTTGCTCTGACAGGTAGTGTGGCAAAGCAGTCTGGAGCCCAAATGGTAAAAAGAATTAGGTGGGGACTAAGCAGAGGTGAGTCTGCCTACACACAGGCCAGATGCTCATTCAGGTAGGGAGAGAGTAGAGGTAATCTCAGCTTTCATTGTAATACTATTTGGTATCATCTGAATCCTGCCATATAACAATTCCAATCTTTAAATATTTCTGGAAGAGCCCTTGCTTGGGAGTTTGAATCTGAGTTCTGCAGCTGATAGCTGCATGTAACCATAGGCAGGTGGTAGCAGGACTCCCCCAGCCTCAGTTTCTACACCTGCAAAATAGGGACAGTCATGCAGTTCACCGAGGGTGTGTGGAACATCCCCCAATGGCAGTTATGGTGATGCTAAGTGCTTTTCAAGCTTATCTGAACAGCTTCCCTTTGGTCCTCCCACTCCCAGTACCTCCCCCACCTTACTATCAAGTACAGTTCTCTGCATAGGGGAATACATCTTTGCATTCTCCTATGAAAGTTAACAGCTACATAGAACCCCGCTGTCTGGCCAAATTGTAACTTAACCAGTGCCCTATGTGTAGAAACTGTGCAAGAGTTCCAATCTGCACTTCTCTAGTTCAAGGCTGCAGTGAAAAAATACTCGTGGGTAAGGGGAAATAAGGAGAAGAATTCTCTCTCCCTGGGGGCCTATGATGGGCTGGGGCTGTGACCACCACAGGCTGACCTGGCTTCTTCCCTGCAGTACCCATTTCGTGGAGGACAAATGAGGCATAACAGTTCAACACAGGTGAGTATATCAAGAGCCATGGGAGCCCAGGAGGAGCCCTCTTACCTGGGGCCAGAAGCCCAGGTTCTTCCTTCCAGGTACGTGTCATCTACTGGATGAGCATCTGGAAATCCTATTTTTACTACACCTCCTCAGACAGATGAGCACCCCCTGTTTTAAGCTGTGGGACACTGGGCAAACTCCTTCCCTTTTTGGGTGTTGGGGCCCCCATTTCAGAAATAAAAGCATTGACTGCCACGATATGGGGCCTTAGCCTTGCGTGGGCAGATGGATGTCTGAATCTGTGATGGGCTCAGGATCTGGGCTGGAGGTGGATAAGGTGGTGAGTTGTGGGGGAGCATGAAGAAATCGTGGCTGGGTGGGGTCAGTTGTGGGCTGGCTGGTGACCTGCAGCTGCCTGCCTCTCTGTCCTGTGGGTACTTTGGTGAGAAAACTTGCTCAGCCCAGTGCCAGGTCCTGCCTTCCCTCTTCCCCTCTTCTCTCCCTCATCCCTCATTTGTAGGGTGGCCAGATAAAATATAGGATGCCCAGTTAAATTTTAATTTCAGATAAACAATGAATAAATTTTAAGTATATCCAAAATACGACTTTCTTCTTCTAAATCTGAAAATACTCCCTTCTTTTCCTCCTCTCCCCACAAGTCGGCAATCTTGTCCTGCTATGGGAATATGAACTAGTGGAGGGAGGAGGCAGGTGTGGGGGTGGCTGCTTTAGCTCAGGCCTATTTCTGCCACCCACTGGCTGAAGGAAACACGGTACCTTTTGGGAGCTGTTTTCCGTCTATACAATAGAAATAAGATACTGCGCCCATAAGAGCAGTTGGGAAGTGCTAGCTGCTGCCCAATGCTTGCTTGATTAGTCTCGGGGACAGGCCTCATACTCTGCTCTTGTGTGGGCTCACCCCAGCAGGCCTGGGCCCTCAGCTCTTTTCAAGGGGCCTCTGGTGGCACCAGCCATGCCCTTAAGTTCCCACCTATCCACATCTGGGATATTCGTGCCTCCTGGAGAGGGTTGTGTCAGAACCTAGGGCTCAAGCCAGTATCGCTGTGTCCCTGACTTACTGCAAGAAAGTCCTGAAGCCTTGGTGTCCCCCCAGTCACACAGAGTGCAGTGGGTGTCAAGGGGCTGTGCTTCCCTGAGGCCATGTGAGGAGGGGCAGTATGCTGGGTTTCAAAGCACAAGCCCTGCCTGCTCTTCTGTGAGTTTCCTTGGACAAGTGACTTAAGCATTATTGTCTCCATTGTTCCAGCTGCCCAATGGGCATAACACCTCCTCTGCCCACAGACTAAGATTGGAGAGGGTGACATCCAGGACACTTCTTAGGGAAGAGCTAGAACAAACAAATCATTCCTTCTCTCTTTCTTTGTAAAGTAGGGCCTTAGGGAAGTGGTATTATGCAGCAATTAAGAGCAATGTCTTTGGAGTAAGGAAAAAACAAACAAACAAACAAACCCTTGGGTTTTGGATCTGGTACTTAACAGCTGTGTGATATTGGATGAGTGACTTCACCTCTCTGAGACTTAGTTCCCTTATCCATAAGGTGGCCACAATGAACAGCCTTGGGGGAGGCATGAGAGTGAAATGAGCTAAACTCATAAAGCACTTGGCACTGTGTGTGGTACATAGAGAGCACTCACCGAATGATAGCTGTGATTTTTTATTATTATCATCAGGCAGCTGCTAGCGTCAGATATGACTTCCTTTGCTTCTGGGAAAGTTCCTATAATTGCTTAAAACATAAGCTATAAGTTCCAAGGAAAAGAAATGAGGGTGGGGGAAGCTCTGCACTCTGAGTCAGATAGAGCCTTCATGTAAGCATCTCCTACCTAGCCAAGGGGGCAGTCACGGGCAGAAATCTGGGGGCTGACTGCCCAAGTCTCCAGGAGAGTCCACCCCCTCCAAGACTCTGTTCTTGTCCAAGGTGCTGAAATCTGCCCTGGTAGGCTCCTTACTATCATGCACATCCATGATCACCTGCTCCCTACCTCCATTCAACTTCTCAAGTTTTACTCCTCATGTATTTCTACTCTATAAGAAGTAGAAGTAAAAAAAAAAAGTTAGATATGTCTCCATCCCAAATTGCTCATAGTTCTTAGGGAACGAATTCAAGCACCTCAGGAGAAGTGAGGGCAAAGAGTAGGAGATTTATTTTCCTATTTCTTGGGTTTCAGTGATATCTATGTCTTGCTTATACCTTGATTCTTCCTCTTCTGCAACAGTGGAATCCTCCAAGGCTGTGCCTCTCATACCTGTCCTGATCTGACCACAGCATAAGAGTCTTCCCCAAAGTAGCCCCTTCTCTACTCATTCATGTCAGAATCAGGAGAACTAATTATCAGTTTCTAATGGGAGGGTAGAATATATATAGAGAAATCAGAGGGTCAGAGATGTCTGAGAAGTGAGGCAGTTGCCTAGACAGGGGTGAGCTCCTTGTCGTATTTCTGCATGCCCTCGTCCGGGAGCAGTACCTCCACTGTGAAGCTGATCTTCTTGGTGTGGACAAAGCTATAGGTGTTGTCAAAGCGCAGGACATCTGGGGGACAGACAAACAGACAAGGAGTTGGACCTGGAAATACATTCCCTGTGTCTCTGCTCTAGGCAGGGGGGAGAACAGGCTGTGTTTCCACTTCCTGTGTTTGCCAAGCTGAGGCAAGTCCCCACCACTACTGTTTCCTTCCCCATGGGAACTGCCACCCCTGAGCAGGGCCTGTAAATAGACACTGACCTCTTCCTGGCATGTGTCCAGCTTTAGTTGCACAAACTGGCAACAAAACAATGGCCACTGAATCCCATTGTCTTCACACCTGAACACTTGCATAATGGGAGTTAAAGGAGGACATCTGGGAAGGTCAGAGGCCTTCCAGCCCCCTTAGATGAAATGGGGTACTAGGCTAGGCCTTCACATGCCCTCTGCCTCCCCACAAGCACCCCCAAGAAGCAGGGGTTGTAATCTCTGCTTCACAGGTGAGCAAAGCAAGGGTCCAGATGGGAAAGACTTTTGCCCAAGGTTACACAGCTACCATGAGGCTGAGGTGAGACCCTGGCCCCACACTCAGCTGTGTAGCTCTGGACAAGCTGATTTACTTCTCAGAGTTCCAGTTTCCTCCTGAGGAGAGCTGCACCTGCCCTATCGCTCCTTACCTGTGTCCTGTGAACATGGACTCTCAACCCCTGCAGGGCCTATGGCTCTGGCTCTTGGTGCACAGTAAGTGCTCATGAGTGTGGACCAAATGAGAGGCTTTGTGAATGAGTGGCACTAACCTAGGCTGTGTGTAACTTGTGCCCCTCTGTTTCCTCTTCTAAACCCTGGGACAGGAGCTGGGTCCCAGCTGGGGCAGACTTACAGACGCCAGCTTCTGAGCAAGTGAGGCTCCCATCCTCAGGCACCATGTGCGCATTGTAGCGCTGGCTGGGCAGCACCTCCGTCATCTCTGCTGCCTTCTGCCGCTCCCCCATCTTGGTCTTCAGGAAAACCCCGAAGCCGATGTCTGCACCATCAGATGAGAACTGCCACCTGTGTGTGGGTGGGGGGAGAGGGATAGGTTACTGTTCAGTGGGATGGGCCCCGAGGGGTTAGTACCCAGCCAGGGATGGGTCAGAGGCCTGTCCCTACCTGAGAACACAGCCTGGAAACAGGATCTCATACTCCACCTGGTGTGAGGAGCCACGGCTGATCTGCACTGAGTGTTCATACTGAGTCTTTACCTGGTCCCTCACGTACATGGACTTGGGGATCTCCCCACCATAGTTGATCTGCAGACATAGGATGAGATGGGTTTGCTCCCCTCTTCCAGCTATTGCATTGTTCATGCTGTTTCATCTGCCTGAGATGTTTTCACCATTTCCTAGAAGTATTTTACTCATTCTGTCATCCCCACACCACCCCTGAGCCTCCAGGCTGAGTCAGGGCCTCCTCTGGGAACTTCCTATTTCAGCTCATCCCTCTGGGCCAAAATTTCATCATTTATTGTTTATCTGCACAGCTGCTGAGAGCCCCATGAGAGCAGGGCTAGGACTGTTTAGCTCAACACCTGGCTCCCTGAGGTCTCTCCATAAACATTTGTGGAATGAATGAGTGTGTGAGAAAGGAACTCGGCTCTACTGACCTCACCTCCCTGTCCCAGGGCTCTTTGTACCTTAGTTAAACATTTGGGATTCCCATCTGGGTCAGTCAGGGTCCCCCCAAACTGGACAGGCAATTCTTCAGGGCTGATGAGTTTCAGCAAACCTTCTTTCCAGTTGTCTGGGGGCAGAGGGGTAAAAGACAGTTGTTGGGCATAAAGGGAACCTGTCAGCCCCACCATTCCCACCAGGAGGACCTGAGCTTAGGGAGAAGCCATACAGAAGCTAGGCTGCCGGGGCCAATTCCCTAGCTTCCCAGGCTTCAGGCAGCAGGAAGTGTCTTCCAGCATCATGTTGCTATGGAAATATGTTTCCCCTTGGCTGAAAGGTCTGTACATTTTTGAGAGTCTCCCAGTAATGAGTAGTGAAGATAAGAGTTTTCTAATTGTCTTAATGAGTCTTTAAAGCCCAATCAGGTCAAGGACCTTGTTGGGGGCCACTCAGTGTATAAATGGCATACCCAAGTCAGATATCTTGGGATAGACAGCCTTAGGTCTTTGGAAGGACCCCCCTCCCACCCCGCTCACTGCTTAATTATCACAATCACATGCCCAGGTTGTGGGCCCAATCCCCAGTAAGGGGCATGAAGGAGGCAGCCAATCAATGTTCTCTCTCATTGATGTTTCTAACTCTCTCTCCCTCTCCCTTCCTCTCTCTCTAAAACAATGAAGAAAAAAACAAAACAAACAAAAAACAAACTATATATATATACTATATATATATAAACTACATATATATACTATTTCTCATCTCTATTTCTTTCTCTTTACCTATCATTTAAAACAATAACAATTCTTTCTACTTATTAAAGTAATACACCTGGCTTGTGAGGCTTAGTGAATTGATCATCGTCCCATGGACTAAGAGGTCCTAGTTCAATTCCTGGTCAGGGCACATGCCTGGGTTGCAGGCTTGATCCCCAGGAGGGGGCATGCAGGAGGCAGCTGATTGATGTTTCTCTCTCACATTGATGTTTCTATCTCTCTTTCCCTTCCTCTGTCTCTAAAAAATAAATTAAAACATATATAAAAAATAAAAGTAATACATCTTATTATAAAAATTTAGAAAATACAGAAAAATGCAAGAGTAAAATTAAAAATGACTTGACTTCTTGTCATCCACAAATCAACATTTCATTGTATTTGCTTCTAGAAATATATTTTGATTTCACAAAAATAAGAGCATACTATTCACACCTCTTTATAATAAACTTTTTAGAAAAGCTTAATGACATTTCCCATGACATCAAATTATTTTTTATGGCTATGCAATAATTCATCAAATGCATACATTATTTATTTATCCAGTCCCTTCTTGTTGGGCATCCCTTCTCTGAATCATGTCTCCTTTTTCTGCTCTTCTTCCTCATCCCAAATTGCCTTCAGAAACACTAAGATGATGAGAGTTGAGAGGAAACTGAAGCCCATAGCCCAGAGATTGACTAGCAACCAACTGAAACCAAAGAGGAAAGTGTGAAAGCCTTAGTCACCAAAGACAGAAAATAAGGCAGAGGTAACTGGATAGACTCTAAAGACCCACCTCACTTTTGAGGAAGAGGAGCCTTTGACTCTAGGTGATATGTGGATCTCTGGATGGAGTGATGGACCAACCTTGCTCCAAATCTCATGCACAGAGCTCAGGAGATGGAACTAGAAGTACTTACTTCCCAACACTATAATTTTTCTGCGAGTGTCTTCACTTAGAAAGGGCTTCATGAGGTTGTAGCCCACAGGGAACAGTTTGGTGGCTGGAGAGATACAAACAAAGATAATGGGAAGAAAATAATTCCATTGAGCTACTCTCTCCATAAAAGTTGTAGCCTAAAATATGGAAGAATCATAAATTATCTCAACACATTTCAATGTCATATACTTGACAAAACATCCAACCAACTGGTCAACCAACCAACATGCAACAACTAACCAACCATTCAATCAATCATCCAGTCTACCAACCAATCATCCAACCTACCAAGTAGTCAAACAACCAATTATAATAAGCAAACCAATAAGCCAATTAAATAATCAGCTAACTGCCCCACCAACTACCCTTTTCAGCCAGTCAACCTTTCAAACAACCAACAGCCAATCATCTAAGAAAGATCTGGCCATGAAACAAACCAGCCAGCCAACTAACCAATCTGCCAACTAGCCACTCATACAACATACCAATAAAAATGTCAATTAGTAACTCAATCAATCAACCAAACTAACAACGGTCCAATCAATCAACTATCCAACCAACCACCAGTCAATCAACTAGCCAGCTAACCAACTGGCTAGTCAACTAGACAACCAACCAACCAATCAACCATCCTTCCATTCACCCACCCAAATGACAATCACTCAAATACCCATTGAGCATTTTGGGTACAACAGAAGGCCTATGAGGGATACAACAGAAGTGGAGAATCAGAGGCCCTAGCTTCAAGGAGTGAACAACCCAGCAAAAAAAAAAAAAAAGATGAATACACGCAAGACAACTGGTGGCCCCAGGAAGCAGCAGAAAAGAAAGGCCAGACTGGGCTGCACCAGTCGCCAGTGTTAGAGGCAGTTTGGGGAGGTAGAGATCAATGAGGCAGGAGAAGTGAACAGAGGAAGAGCTGGGGCTGGAGCTGCTTCCTTTTGCAGTAAGGCCAACCAGAGAAGCTTCGGTTTATGGAGCACTTGCTCTGTTCCAGGCACTCTAAGCGATTTGCATGCAGCCAAGCAATCAACCTGTCTCACTACAACCCAGGGAAGAAGGTACTATTATCACCCCCAGGGTACAGATGAGGGAAAAGAAGCACAGGGAAATAAAGTCACTTGCCACACACCTTTCACAATGAGCATGAACTTCAGGGTCTCTGGATAATTCTCTTCAAGGAGGCAAAAGAACTGTGGAACCAAGAAAGACCCTATCAGAACCCACACCTCATCTTCTCCTACCCCATCGCCTTTGCAATCTCTCTTCTGGAGGGTTCAGAGGGCTGTGGAGGGTTTCCTTTCTTTTCATCACCTCTACTGGCCTGGAGGGGAACGTCTCACCTCAGACTATTGCAACCATACCATAATAATAACTTTATTTTATTTTTTTCCCATTTTTTGATCAGATAAAGTGGGAGGAAGAGAGAAAGAGAAACATTGATGCAAAAGGGACACATCGAGTGGCTGCCACCTGCACAACCAACCAGGGCCGGGGACAAACTGCAACCTAGGTACGTGCCCTTAACGGGAACCGAACCCGGGTCTCTCTGGACCGCAGACAGACGCTCTAACCATTGAGCCAAACCAGCCAGGGCCATAATAATAATTTTAAAGTAAAATTATAGTAATGATAGTATGGTAATAATAATGACTACTGTTTATTTTTATTTATTTTTTCTTTATTGATTTTAGGGAGAGAGGAAAGGAGAGGGAGAAAGAGATAGAAACATCGATGAGAGAGAACACTGATGGGCTGTCTCCTCCATGGTCCCACTGGGGATCGGGCCCACAGCCTGGGCATGTGTCCTGACCGGGAATTGAACTGGTAACCTCTTGGTGCATGGGTCGACGCTCAACCACTGCCACACCAGCCGGGCATGACTACTATTTATTAAATGTTCATTATTTGCAAGCACAGAATATATACTTTATATATCAACTCACTGAAGTATCCCTCTATCCTTCCAAAATGCAGACTATCAGTATCTCCAATAACTTGTTCAAGTCACCGTGCTAGGGATGGTAGGGCTGGGAAGGCTTTGGAGGAAGCTGGCCCCTGTGGTCTCAAAGCAGTGTTGTCCCTGAGGCCTGTTCTGTGGGATCTTCTAGTAAACATCTATGGGTCATGAGTCACATGATGGAGCCCAGGAAGGCTACCACCTTTTACCAAATCTTGGCTGTGAGTGAGCAGTTGGGTCACAGCAAGCCAAGCTGGTCATTAAACCAAGCAGCTGGTGTCCTGGGGCTTTCTCCTCACCTCCTGGTATACTTCCACCAGAGGTTTCCAGAAGTGCTTCAACCCCAGGCCCTCGCAGTCAAATATCATCACAATGGTATTGATCTTCTTCCCCAGCTGCAAGGACAAAAGCAAGGATCAGTTCCAAGGTTCAGGGTTCAGGCTCAGAACTTGGCAATGGTGACCCTAGCACATGACACCTCAGGGTTTCTCCCAGCCTCCTACTCTGTCCTCAGAGGAAAAAGTGAACAAAACAGTGAATACATTTATCTATCCATCCATCCATCAACTGACCCATCTATTCACCTATTCATCCATTCATTCATTCCTGCATTTGTCCAACTGATACTTCTTGTCTTCAAAGAGTTCACAGTCTGGTTGGGGAATCTGACAATCAACCAGGTCACCATGATCCTGAGATGAGTGCTGAGAGGGGACAGCAAGGAGCTGTGGGAACACATGTTAATCCAGACAGGGGCCTCAGAGGTGACATCTAAGTTTGAGACCCAAAGCATATACAGGAGAGAGCCAAGGGAAGTGTGGCAGGCAGGTGTGTATGCTGGGGGTAGGGTTATCCAGACAAAAGGAATAGCAGGGGCAAAGAATCTGCAGAAATAACAATAACTAGCATGGCTGAGAAATATGTTAGGCCCTGTGTGCTAGGCCAGATACTTGCATTATCTCATTTAATCTTTGCAACCATTATTTATTATTATTCCTATTTTCTAGGTGAGAAAACAGGCTCGGAAAGGTGAAGTGACTTTTCAAGGCTGCACAGCTGGGAAGTGGCAGAGCTGGTGTTTGACCCCAGAGCCCTCTGACTGTAATAGTAGAACAGATGCTACTACTTGGGACCATGTCCCCTGGCAGCCTCACCTGCCCCATAGCCCACCCCGCTCAGCCTGGGACTCACCCGCTCTGTCTGCAGGTCACATTCATGCAGGATGCGTTCACAGTCCCTCATCTTGGTCTTGAGCAGGTCCTGCTTGGTGACTGAGAAGAGCAGGCCCTTGGGGTCCAGAGGCCCAATGATGTCATACCACACAGGGCAACCATCACGGTCATAACCACACAAGCCCCCAGGCATGTATTTCTGGATCACCTGGGCATAGAAAGATAGATGGAACTTGGCATTATGCACCTCCCCAGAGACCTCCAGACCAGGCTGACCTGTGTGCCACAAGCCTACATACACAATGAAGGGTGACACTATTGTCCAGGTGAGAAAACTAAGGGCCTGCGGGGGAGGGCCATGCTCACAGCAGGTACACAGCAAAGCCAGGCCTCAGCAGGGCCTGGTCCAAGGCCTCTGGGCTCCTTAGTTCTGCTCCTGATGTCTCCCACATCCCTTTTCATGGAGAGAGGTTAGGGTGAATAATGGAAAACATGGAGCCCTGGCCGGTTTGGCTCAGCAGTTGGAGTGTTGGCCTGCGGACCAGAGAGTCCCAGGTTTGGTTCCCACTAGGGGCACATACAAAAAAAAAAAAAAGGAAAGAAAACATGGATTCTGAAGGTCTACAGATCTGGTTCAAATACAGACACTGCTGCTGCCCTGCTGTGTATCCTTGAGCAAGTGACACCACCTCTCTGAGTGCCATTCCACCTCCTCTTCTATAAATGGTTTGGATAATTCCTCCCTCATGAGATTGTCACAGAAAGTCCCCAAGATCATGTTGGCAAAGCACCATGCCTGGCCTAGAGCTCATACTCCATAAATGAAGCTATAATCATTGCTTTACCAGTATGTCAATGGTGGGACTGTCCTCTCAGAGACTTGGTGAGTGAAATTTCCTTCCCACCCAGACAGGATGCTTTGAGCAAGGCCCCAGGCCTTCAGGGGTGAGGAACATCAGGCCCTCAGGCCATAAAAGGCCCACAAAATCAGTACCAGCTAACATCATATGCCTCACCAAATTAGCCTGACCAAATATAGCAAATTTTTAAGTTGGTAATTTTGTATGGCCTGTGAATGATGTTATAAATATCCAAATGGCCCTTGGTAGAAAAAAGTTTCCCCATCCCTGCCCAGGGGTAAGGGTGCAGGGGCACAGGTTCACTGTGGTGGTGAAGAGCCTGGCTTCAGGGCCAGACAGGCCTGAGCTCAAATTCCAGCCCCACTTCACAGCTGTGGGCCTTTGGGTAAACTGCTTAATGTTTTTGGGCCTCAGTGTCCTTGACTGTAAAATGGGACAATAATACCCACTTCCTAGGGTTGTGATGATTAAATGCGCAGATAAAATCTTAACCCAGACCTGGACCTCATAAGCCCCTAGGGGAGGGCCTAGCAGGTAAATTCAAAATTGTTACAGGAGAGGTACTATAGGCCCAGGGGTTTCCATAGGCTTCTCAGGCTGGCTGCCTTCACTCATGATCCCCAGAGACCCAGAGGTTCAGTGGTATGTTTGTGAAAGATTGGGGTGTGTCAAGGGGTGTTGGCTCACCTCTGGGGGTTGCCAGTCAAGGATGTGGTCAATATCCATGGTCTTCCGGAACTCCATGTACTGAAAGGGAGATGAGTGGTGAGGCTCCCCTGGGCTTCCAGCACCCGAGAAAAGGATGGGGCAGGGGCTTCAGGCAGGCATTGTCCCCCATGAAGCCCCTCCCCCAATTTCCGGTGGGAGATAGGTCTTACCTTGCGGAGCATGGCCTCTGATTTCTGCAGGTCAAAATTCCGAGCTGTGGGAAGATGGAGGAAGGAGTGAGGTGGGAAAAAGACTGCCTGGCAGTTGCCTTTTCAGGTCCCGGGCAGTGGCAGCTATGGAGGGCCCTGGGGCCCTGGGCGGGCCCTTTCTTCCCTGCCCCTTTCCCTTTCCTGGACCTGAACATGTGGAGCAAGGTGATATGGTGGGAGCCTGAGAGCCATGCATCATTCTGGAGCAGTTGGCACCAGGTCCCTCTCACTGCCCCAGCACCTTGAGCTTTCCCATCTCTGCCCTCACCTCGGAGCCAGCGCAGAAGGAAATAGTCATCAGGGTTGGGCAGGGCAGGCAACACGTCCTGAACATTCTCTCGGAACTGGGAAGGGAGATGCTAGTTAGAGGGGTTTCACACTGAGCCTTGGTCCCCAGACTCACTGATTGTTTTCCTCAACCCTCCTTCTCTTCCACATGCTTCTGGCCCACAATGATGGAAGGATGGGCAGGTGGGAGAAAAGAAAGAGACACAGATCATTGGATTGGTGGGTGAATAGATAGGTAGGTGAATGGAAGGAAGGTTGTATGGGTGAATAAATGGATAGAAAGAAGAATGGATGGATGGGTGGGTGGGTGGGTGAATGGGAACAAAGGAAGGAGGAATCAGTGAAGAGTAGATGGAGAAAAGGAGAGATGGGTGGGCTAGTAGAAGGAAGGAGAGTTTAGTGGGTGAATATATGGAAGAAGGAATAATAAGTGGGTGGTTGGGAGTGGGAGGATACATGGAAGAAAGGATAAATGGGTGGGTAAGTGGATTTGAGTATAGATGTACAATAGTCCCCCCCTTACCCACGAGGGATACGTTCCAAGACCCCCAGTGGTGCCTGAAACTACAGATAGTACTGAGCCTTATATGTACTGTTTTGTCCTATATATACATACCTATGATAAAGTTTAATTTATAAATTAGGCACAGTAAGAGATTAACAACAATAACTAATAATAAAATAGAACAATTCTAACAATATACTGTAATAAAAGTTATGTGAATGTGGTCTCTTTCTGTCTGATAACTGAGATGGCTACTAAGTGACTAGCAGGTGGGGAGCATATAGAGCGTGGATATGTTGGGACAAAGAGATGATTCATGTCTCGGGTGGGACAGACAGAAAGGCAGGAGATTTCACCACGCTGCTCAGATGGTGTGAAATTTAAAATTTATGAATGGTTCATTTCTGAAATTTTTCATCTAATATTTTCAGACTGCGGTGGACAGCAGGTAACTGAAACCGTGGAAAGTGATACTGTGGATAAGGGGAGACTACTGTATTCTTCATTCCTTCCATGTGTTAGCCACCAAGACTTCTTCTGCCCTTTAAAAAATGTTTTATACCATCTTCTACAAAAATATGGTTAAGGATGATGTGTCCTCTTCCCCACGTGGGATGACACACCCTGCTCTGTCTGGCTCTTAACAGCCAAGTCAACTCTCGTGGTCCCGGGGAGGGAAGGGAACAGTCAGAGGGCAGACAATCAGCATCGTTCAGCTCCCACCTAAGGGGCCTGGGTGGGGGCAGCTTTCAGATAAAGCTCTCTGGGTCCGGCTCCCGAATGAGGAGTCAGGCTTGATGTGGCTCCCACACTACTGACTGGAAGTGGTGCTGTTCCCTCAACCCCTTCCCTGGAAAGGGCTGATGCCACTGGGCACTGTGAGACCTGATCTTGGTAGAGGTGACAGAAAAGAGACAATGTCAAGGACGTGCTGGGCCAACAGAGTTAAGGCAGGGCTGCAGCCACTGCCCCTTCTCTGCTCCTCAGCACTTTCCCCTGGGGCTCCAGGGAAAGGGGCTCTCACCTTGGCTAGGGTCTCTGCCTGCTTGGGGCTCAGGTCTCCAACTCGGCCGCTCATGGTGCTGGGTGAGGCTGGAGGAGTAGGGGCCACTGCAGGCAGAGGCCAAGCCTGGTCTGTGGCTCTGATCCAGCTGAGCCTTTTGCCTCTGCTCCTAGGTGTGGCTCCGGGCGCCTCCTCCCTGGACAAGTGTTGAATGGCACATTACATAATTGGAATTAAGTGAGATCTGGTGTTTGGCTCTGGGCCAAGTGGGAGGGAATGAGGCTGGCCTCCCGTGGTGTGGGGAGCCAGACTGGGTGCCTATGGAACCTCCACCACTGTTCCCAGGCCTCCAGGGGCCACTGTCCTGGAGAAAGGGGAGATTTCAAGGGGAGTGGGAACCATACACTTTCTCTTCGAGCCTCAGTTTCCCCCCATATCACTAATGAAGAGACTCCACACATAGGGTTCTGCAAAAGTCACCACCCACCCAGCTCTGACAGGTAGGAGTCAGGGACTTGGTCAGTTTAGTAACTAGTTCATTCACTTTGTCTGGGTGGGAAGCTTGTGTACTTTGCAACAAACATTCATATTTAAGAAGAACTGGCTGGGGCAGAAAAAGAGAATTCAAGTGTCCTTGCTGAAGGTTTGTTCTCTCCAAAGGGCCAGTGCTACGTTTCCTGATGTCTCTCCAATGTTACTGTGCAGAGCTGGCCCTGCACCTGCAACGTGGGGAAGGGCTGAGCACCCTCCACCCTGCAGCACTCTCTTCTCTTGGCTGAGGTCTTCTCCAGATCCTGCCTCCCTAAGCCCTAAGGGAGGGGTGGGGCATGCTGATGGCCTTGGGGCAGTGAAGGTGTTTCTTGAGATTTTAAACACCTGATTAGTGAGGGGCATCCTCCATCTATGCGAGGTGATGAGAAAAGCCTAGAAGTTCCCCTGGCCTTTGATTTCTGTCACGCTGCCTGACAGTCTACCATTAAACATGCCCTCAAGGCCTGGCCCTGTTCCCCACTTGCCCATTTGACTTCCCTTTGAAGATGACATCTCGGAGTGTCACTTGCTTCATTTATAGAACGGGGTGGTGGTGGTCAACGCTTGCCCTGTCCTCCTTATGTGATTGGTGGGAAGATCTAAGGAGACATATAGACTGTCAAGGGTCGTGCACGTCTAAGAGATTATTCTCCTCCAGCTGTCAGAAGCTCCGAGATAGCAAAGGCCACATTGTTAATGGCTGCCCATATGGAATGCATCATCAGCTTGAGACCACAGCATATCCATGTGGCCACATCTTCCAGGCCTTGACGGTTTCACATGGGCTGAAACCACCACTGAATTAGCCTCGGGCCTAGTAGCTGGGCTAGCCCAAGCCTCTCTGCCCAGGGGCTCTCCCAGGTCCCCTACCCCTAGGACATCCTGGGTCCCCACCTCTGGGCCATCTCAGGGCCTCTTTAGGCTAGCTGATGTGAGTTAGTGCTGGACATCTTCCTTGCTTTGGGCTCCTGATAGAGTTGGGTCCAGGAAGAGAAGGAGGGGCCATCTTCAGCCATCTCTATCTGTCTGGGGTGCCTGTTTGGGGTGCCAGCTCTGCATGAAACAGTTAGATAACTCCACACCCCAGCCCCTCCCCACTTCACATTCCAGCCTCTGTCTGCAAACCCTCAGCTGCTGTGCACACCCACTTCCTGCCAGGCTGGCAGCATGCAGAGATTAGGTTCCTCCACTCCCTCTCATTAGCCCCTAATCCTGCCCGTTTCTCACCAGTCTCCTTTCTCGCCCTAATCCCTCTAACGTGAGATGTCCCGGTTACTTCTGAGGACATCAGAGGCTGGGCAGGGAGAGCCAGGAGGATGGTTTGGGGGTCCTCCCAGGAGCTGTGGGCCTTCAGAGACACCCTGAAGTATTTTTCCTGACCCAGACCACAAATAGGCACAGAGCACCTACTGTGTGCACGGATCATTATCGTCCAATAGAACTTTCTGTGATAATGGAAATGTCGGGTATCAAGGAGGCCCTATTGGTAGCCACCAGTCATGTGTGAGATATGATTAGTGAGACTGAGGAACTTCAGTTTTAATTGACGTGAATTTGATTAATTTGACTTTAAATCACCCCCTGTAACTTGTGGCTACAATATTGAACAGCAAAGGTCTATTGCATTTACTGAAGGTTTATTACATGCCAGGCCTCACTGTAAGTGCATTACCTCATTTAAACCTCAGAATACCCCATGGGGGTAGGTGCCGTCATTAAGCCCATTTTACAGATAAGCAAACTGAAGTATAAAGAATTTAACTAAGTTATCCAGAGTTAAGCCCATGCAGTGAACTGCTCTGTGGTCGCACTGTTCGACTATCCCAGTCTCAGCTCCAGGAGCTTCCACCCTGCCCAGCGAGAGGACCCAGGCACAGAAGTTACTCCCATGGGATGTAGGTGGCATTTGAGTCAGACCTTGAAGGAAGGGAGAATGTTGATTAGTGAAGATCAGAGTAGAGCCAAGGGCATCCCAAGTGGAGGGATGGCATGGACACAGGCGTGGAGGTGGGGAAGTGAAAAACACGCGAAGGGGGTGTTGGGATATGACAGTAAACAAGAGGGATTAGGTCCCTGCCTGCAGAGAGCTCCCAGTCTCCCATTTGTTGAGCATCTCTTCTGTGCTGAGAGCCTTACATCATTATCAAACCATTTGGAAACAGGTGGAGGTATCCACATTTTACAGTCGAAGAAGTGGAAGGTCTGAGAGAGTAAGAAACTTTTCTGAGCTCACACAGCCAGTAAATGGAGAGCTAGGATCTGAACTCAAGTCTGTCTGACTCTGGAATCATAGCTGAGCCCTGACTTCCGTTGTAGGGCTTAACATTGTGCCTGGCACGTAGTAAGTGTTCAATAAATGGTCTAAATCATCATCGTGTATCCTCTGGGACTGCAGTATTTGTTTCCCTCCCCTAGAACAGAGGCCCTGGCAAAGGAGAACTCCCACCCCCACCAGTACAGAACTCATCTTCTCAAGTAAGTTCCCGGACTGTGTTTAGCTCCTGGTTTGCCAAGCTCTCAGGGGACCATGGTGACAACCACGACATAAGCAAATAACTGCAGGGTGGTAGACAGGGCTGCCCAGCCACACCCTAAAACCTCTCTTTCTAGGCAGTTACTAGGAAATGTGAACAGGCTGCTGCCACTCTGTCCCCAACGGCGGGCACATTCCTATCTGCCTTTCCTTAGATGGGTGGCACCAGAACCAGTTGGGCAAGTACAGAGAGGGCACAGAGGGGTTCGAGAGCCTCGCCAAAGAGGTGAGCATTGCCTGGAAGAGGCAGGCATGTGTGTGGGTGGGATAATGGGGGCTCAGACTACAGTAAGGTGAGGCAGGGGTGGCCAAAAAAGGGGAGATGGAAAGGGAATTGAGGGGCACCTCACCAAAATCCCAGTGGTGCTCTGGGTAGCACCTGTGGAGAGTCCGTGTTCCATATTTTGCCTTTTTCATTTCCTTCATTTAATTAAAAAATACGTAATGTGATATAATTCACATGTCGTAAATTCACCATTTCTAAAATGTACAGCTCAGTGGATTTTAGTATATTCACAAGGTTATGCAACCATTACCACTACCTAATTGCCAAACATTTCCATCACGCCCCCGACCCCAAAAACACTTGTACCTGTTAGCAGTCTTTCCCCATTTCCTGCTTCCCTGATCCAGCCTCTGGGAACTACTAATTTACTTTTCATCTCTAGATTTCCCTATTCTGGATCTCTCATACAGTATGTGGTCTTTGTGCCTGGATTCTTTCACTGAGCGTAAGTTTTCAAGGTTTGTCCATGTTGTAGTAGGATCAGTACTTCATTCCTTTTAATGGCTGAATAATATTCTTTTGTATGGATACACCACATTTTGTTTATCCATTCATCATTTGATAGACATTTGGGTTGTTTCCACTTTTTTGACCATTATAAATAATGCTGTAATGAACATTTTTTGTACAAGTTCTGGTGGAAATATATGTTTTCAATACATTTGTGTATCCTTAAGAGAAGAATTGCTAGATCATATAGTCATTCTATGTTTATCCTTTTGAGAAACAGCCACACTGTTTTCCAAAGTGGCTGCACCATTTTACATCCCCACTAGCGATGGGTGAAGGTTCTAATTTCTTCACACCTTCACCAACATTTATTTTCTGTTTTCTTTTTTTTTAATCCTCACCTGAGGACACTTTTGTATTTTTATCTTGAGATAGAGCGGGAAGGAGAGGGAGGAAGAGAGAGAGAGAAACAATGACATGAGAGAGACACATCGAGTGGTTGCCACCCACACGACCCCAACAGGGGCCGGGAACAAACTGCAACCGAGGTACGTGCCCTTAGCGGGAACCGAACCCGGACCTCTCTGGTTCGTGGGCCAACGTTCTAACCACTGAGCCAAAGTGGCCAGGGCTATTTTCTGTTTTCTTTTTAAAATTATTATGGCCATCCTAGTGGATGTCAAGTGGTATCTCATTGTGGTTTTGAGTTGCATTTCTCTGATGACTGCAGATGTCAAACATCTTTCTCATGTGTTTAATGGCCATATGTATATCTTCTATGGAGAAATGTCTATTCAGATTTTTAAAATGTTTTATCCACTTTTTAATTTATTTTAGAGACAGAAAGAGAAATATTGATGTGAGAAACATCGATTAGTTTTATGTGCCCTGACCAGGAATAGAACCGGCAACCTTTCGGTACCTGGGATGACGCCTAACCAACTGAGTCACATCAACCAGGGCTCTTTATCCATTTTTATTTTATTTTTTTAAATATATTTTTTTGCCCTGGTCCGTTTGGCTCAGCGGTTAGAGCGTCAGCCCATGGACCAGAGAGTGCCGGGTTCGGTTTCCGCTAAGGGCACATACCTCGGTTTCAGTTCGTCCCTGGCCCCGGTTGGGGTCGTGTGGGTGGCAACCAGTCAATGTGTCTCTCTTACGTCAATTCCCCCCTCTCTCCTTCCTGCTCTCTCTGAAGATAAATGCAAAAATGTCCTCAGGTGAGAATTAAAAAATGATTTTATTGATTTTTTAGAAAGAAAGGAAGGGAGAGAGAGATAGAAACAACTACATGAGAGAGAGAGAAACATCGATTGACTGTCTCCTGCATGCCCCCCACTGGGGATCGGGCCCAC